CATCCACTAAGTCACCTATGGCAGCCTTATGTACTTAACCGCATGAACTGCCCCCTGCCTGAACCCAGGCCTCGGGAGGAGATTAGTGTGTTCTATAAATCAAAACTAAGATTAACTATAAAATCACTTAAATGTTTTAATTAATCCCCTTTTCCTGCAGAAACTGTTTCTGCGTAACTTGGATTATCCGTACTTCAAAAGAACTTCATTTCTTTACAGGATGTTAAAATACCAGCTTTGAAAACAGCATTTTTAAGCATTTGTTATCGGTAGTGGAATGAGTTTCCCTCTGGGGCAGGTAAGGGGGCAGTTCTCGGTCACAAAACCTGGAGGCAGGGCTACTTCAGAAGAATGTCTTAAAATTAAAAACCCGTGCATAACCGTCCAAAGAATCTGAAGCCACGTTGCAGTCCTACTGCCATAATGCTCAGGGCTGGGAAGTTATTCCGCTCTACAAATGGCATCTTCGGGGAGCTGTGGTGTAACCTGTCAGAATAAATCACAGCTGCAGCTCCCCCATCAGCCTCACGTGGTGCTTTCACCGTCCCCCCCAACAGCCTCACCGCCCACAAGCTGGGCTTTAAAGTTGGTAATGGCAGGCTGTAGTCTCCGTCCAGGGCACTAAAATGCTATGCAACACCAAATGGCTGCTTCTTCCCACACACAGGCATTGTTCCTTTACAGTGAATGTCCCAGCTTTATCTCATCCGGACATTAGCCAGGAAACCTGGTGGTTAGAGTTTACCTAGGGCTTGTCACCATTTTGTTTTTCCTTTGAATAAGTAGCGGATGGGTCCTGCTTACAACCCAGGACTGGACTTGTTCCTTTATCTTTCGGGTGTGAAATATAAATCATGTTTTTATGATTTTTTTGTAAATCTTTACTCTTTTTACACCTTGTTTTTGTAAGCTGAAGTTTCTTATTAAAAAAACAAAAAAAGAAATTCCAGTGGGCTATGTCGTTATTCTTGCATACTTTAATAAACATCTAGAGAGGGGTACAGAAGAAAATTCCATGTGCAATGGCTCCACATCCTTGAGAAAACTATTCTCACTGTGCCTTGTAGAAGGAATGTGGAAAATACATTCTCCCTCTCGCACTTAAAAGCTTCTCCCCCCCTCTTTGTCACCGATTCAAGCGTGATGGCTGGCTTTGAAGTGCGAGCAGCAGCTCTGCCGAGAAGGGAGCCGAGGAGAACAGGACATAGTCCTGGGAATGTGTTGGGATTTGCAATGGCTGAACACCTCTCTTCCAGTCCTGCTGTGCGGGGGGCCGAGCTCTTCTCCCTTCCAGCTCCGTCTCTTTCCTAGGTCAGCAGTTAAGCAGAGTTAGACGAGGTTGGTTCCAGGCCAGGCTACCGGCGCAGGACGATGTGAGGTGGCTCCGTAGGCACCGAGCGCCTCAGGCCTTCACCCCCGCGGGGCTTGGTCCCTCTGGCGCCTCGTTATCCTGTATTTGATCACCTTGCCTGGTGACAGCCCCGTGGTGGGG